TAAAATAAAATAAAATAATAAAATAAAATAAAATAAAATAAAATAAAATAAAATAAAATAAAATAAAATAAAATAAAATAAAATAAAATAAAATAAAATAAAATAAAATAAAATAAAATAAAATAAAATAAAATAAAATAAAATAAAATAAAATAAAATAAAATAAAATAAAATAAAATAAAATAAAATAAAATAAAATAAAATAAAATAAAATAAAATAAAATAAAATAAAATAAAATAAAAACTTAACTTAACTTAACTTAACTAAGGACAGTATCTTCAGGTCACTAAAGTAAAGTAAAATAAAATAATAAAAAATGAACCATTACTTGGATCACTGCAATAAAAAAAAGATTAAATTAGACAAGACGAGACAAAACGAAAAAAAAAAGCAAATAAAATTAATATAATCAATTATACAGTAAAATAATATAAATATTAATAATAATATACATTATAATACACTAAACTAAAACAAAATAAAAACTTATATTAATATTATTATTAAATAAATATTAAAATATATTTTAAGCATGGACAGAAAACACATAATATGTGCAGCCATTGGACGGGTCACTGCAATCAAATTAAACTAGACAAAATATGATAAAAGAACATGAAAGTGAACTATTCCCCACTGTGTGCCGCCGGCCGGGTCGGGTCAGTGGACGCAGCTGTGCACTAGAAAGGTCAGCGCGCGGCGGTGACAGTGATGAACACACACGAGCGGCGGATCCGCCGAGGAGAACGAGCTCTGCCGGAGCGACAGACCAGCACACAATCTCATCTCCGGCGTCCATCGGCCGCTTCACCCTCCATCACAGCTCAGAGACGACACGGATCGGGTCAATCTCATCCGCTGACCCTCTGCAGCGTCTCATAAACAACAGCACAGCTGCTCTCACATACACACACAAACACTGGCTGAGTAATAACTAATGAACAGCAGCCGTGATTGATGACGATCTGTCTCGGCTCAGATTAAACAAGATATCATGCTCTTCTGAGAGACATTTCACTCGAAACCAACTGAATCAGACAGATTTCACATTCGATTCGGTTCAGGGCTGGAAGTGAATCACAATAATGGGCTGGGATTGGCTTTTGAGGTTAAAATTTGAAGAAAAAAAACGTTTTTTTCAATTTCATGCATGAAAAAGACATTATTTAAGGTTTAACTGAACTCAACTGTCGAAGTGAACGAATTACAACAGAAATATATTACTGTAGTATGCTGAAACGTTTTTTTCAATTTCATGCATGAAAAAGACATTATTTAAGGTTTAACTGAACTCAACTGTCAAAGTGAACGAATTACAACAGAAATATATTACTGTAGTATGCTGAATTATATTTATGAATTATAATAAAACAAGATCAAATTAGATCAAATCAAACAAAATGATAAAAAAATACTATTATAATAATATTAGTAAATAAGACAGGGTTAAAAATAAGAACTGCAATAAAATAAAAATTTTATAACATTCTAATAAAATAAGATTAAATTATTTAAAAGAAAAGAAAAAAATGAATAGTAATATTAATAATAAAAGTAAGATAAAATAAGATTAGTAAAAAATAAAATAAATAAACTAAATTACATTATAAATAAGAAAAAAATTTGAATAAAAAGAATATAATATTTCATTATAATAAAACAAGATTAAATTAGTTAAAATAAAATAAAATAATTAAGATCAAATTAAATTGGTCAAAATAAAACATAACATTAAATTAAATTAAAATGTATTAGAAAATAAGAAAACATAATTAAATAAACAAAAATAAAACAAAACTGATATAACATTACATTATAATAAAACAAGATTAAACTAGTTAAAATAAAATATAAATTGTAAAATAATATTATATTAAAATAACAAAATAAAATTAGTCAAAATAAAATAATTACATTAAATTGTTATTTTAAAATAAGGTTTGACAAAATAAAATAAACCAAATGTAATCATAATAATAAAATAAAATAATACTATTTTATTACAATAAAATAAAATAAAAAACATTATAAATAAAATAAAAATAACTGTGTAAATGGAAAGTGGACTGAGGCCTGTTCAGAACTCAAATGGTCCAAATGAGATCTGAGCTCACTTTAAATCCAGTGAGTGTAAATCAACTTAACAGATGTAAATGTTGAGTTTAGCAAGTACTTCCTGTCACTGTTCTGAAATCAAATATACTGCAAAAGACACTGACCGAAAGCTTCTTTTACACACATAATCAACCGCAGCACCTTCATGACGACTGAAGGCCTGCAGATAAGCTACCTGATTAAACGCAGCAACATGACAAAACCCATCAGCTCGACCTTTCACAAGCAGCGCCTGTTGTTCGGTCCGCTCCGACCTTATTCAGCGTTTCAATTAATATTGTGCCGCTGACTGGAGCAGCACTTAAAGCCATAACTCACAGACGGGACGGGTCCGGGTCACGCGCTCATTACACAAACCCAGTGAACATCAGGCTTCAAACACACACCACACAGCTGGCTCGTTTCTGATTGGCTGCTGGTGAAACCGCCGGCTGTCAATCAAACGGGGAACGCAGGTCGAGAAGATGCAAGGAATCGACTGAAGGGAACACGGTTAAAGTGGTGAAGTCCACCAGCTGCAGATATTTTGTGTTTTCTGTCCAACATAAGTTTTGTCTTTTCATTTCTTTTCTATTTGCTTTTCTATTCAATTTCCATCTCCAGTAAGTGTATCTTCATTTAAGGACATTAATTTTCTGCATATACACATAAAATAATTATTTAACATTTTTTAGCATTTTATTTTATAATTTATTTTATAATTAATATTTTTTTATTATTATTTATTTTATTTTATTTTATTTTATTTTATTTTATTATTTTATTTTATTTTATTTTATTTGCACTGACCCATCCACCGGCTGCAAATAGTTAATTCAGTTTTTTTTTTTTTTTATCTTTATTTTGCATCTCACGTATTTATGACTTTAAGACTCTGCTTCAATGCAAGAGCGTTTTAGGCCTTAGTTTGTGGAAGGGAGACTTTTAAAGACCCGCAGAAACCCTGACTGGTCGATGCACAGAACAAACGCTTGCGACTGCATCTCATGTGAAACCAGCGTTCACTTCTCAGGACACTCAGTAAATTCTGTGATTTCTCCAAACAGCACACAGACTGCAGCGCAGCCGCCGCTAATAGGATTCTTTAGAGAGGCAGATGGATGGCGAATCCGAGCGATTTCATCTACTAAAAGACGGCATAAATCACGGGCTGAAGCCGAGGTTATCGCCAGCCTCACGAGAAACCTGCATTAAAGCATTAGTGAAATTAATTCATCTTTCATAAGAGGTTGGAGCCGTATCTGTGATCTACGATAACAAGCAATTTCTCACTACTGAGAAAGCCCTTGATAGACTACACAAATCTGCTGCTTTAAACGGCCCGGCATTATGTGGAGCGCTGCTCTCCGGAGATTCATGAGCGCGTAAATCAATGCATCGCAAACTTTTCTGCCTCTGTTTTCTCTCTTCTGTAAACGTCATTGTTTTCTCATCAGCGTCGTGCGCTGGAAGCCGGCAGCGGCGCGTGAAAGGCCAGCGCGCTGTTTGTGCATATAGTGTGAGAGACGGATGTGAGCGCAGGATCCAGCTGACACACGCTCTTTATTACTGCAGCAGATATGCAGTAAACTCGCAGCTAGCATGCTCCAAACACAACCAAAACAAGAGTTCATTTAGCTGACAATCAGTGAGCAGTACAAAAACATTTAACCCTAAAACTGACTACATCTGAATACTTTTCATATCAAAAAGTACCAAAGCAGTAAGCTTATTGTGATTATTGTATGGTAGGAGCTACAAATAACGTCGCGTGAAGTTCTGTTCAGCATTAAAAGAAGATAGATTAAAAACAAGAAAATAGAAAAATGTGTGCAGAATTTCTGTGCATAACTACTCCAATGTTCCATTGATTTGTGTGTTTCAAACATCTTTAAAGCCAATATAATGCAGATAGATGTATACATAGAAATACAGCAAAAACTGCTGAAATGAAAATCAAAGGCCCCCAATATTGGATATTTAATTTAGTGTTTCTGCAGTAATTCTGACAAAGCTGCTCGTTTTCTGAGAGAAACTGGGAGTGTCACTATATTAATTAACCTCATGTCAGTTTATGATTGCAGAAGTTTCAAGAACTGTGTGTTAAATAAAACCAATTATTATTGAGGAAAACAATATATTGAAATGATTTCATTCAGGATCTCGATTTCAGTTTTCGGTTAATATTAATTGTTATACATTTAAATAAGTTATTTTTATTTTTATTTTATTTTATTATTATTAAATAAGTCATTTTTAAATTATTATATTGTTTTCATTTTATTATTTTCAATTAAATTATTTATTTTAAAATTATTTTTATTTTATTGTTTTTATTTATTTTTTAAATAAATTATTTATTTGTAAATTATTATTCATTTAAATAAGTTATTTTTATTTTCATTTTATTATTAAATAAGTTATTTTTGAATTATTATTTTATTTTTATTTTATTATTTATTTATTTATTTATAATGAATTATTTATTTTTAAATTAAACCAAATTAAGCAGGGATGCCATATTCAGGGCTGTAATGATTTAAGACTGAAGCACTGAAAAACTCCTATCAGTCAAGCTCTCATCTGGACATCAGGGAGACGTTTTCCTCTCAATATGAGCCTGAGATTTCGATACCGAGCTTCATGTGAGAAATGTGACTGAAGCAGACACAGCACAGAATGACGCACCTCAGGGAAATAGTCTTGAGGAAACTTCTCCTTCTCCAGCATGGCTGCTCTTGGAAGAGCGTCCGAACACACCTCCTTCCCAACCACCTTCCTGAACTTCTTGGCTGTGTGAAGGAAAACGAGGAGGAATAAAACAGCCCTGATGAACATGCAAACATGCAGAGCGTTCAGAGATGATTATCAGAGGAAGAGCGCTCAGGGCAACTGCGCCACCTACTGCTCACACACACACAAACCAGACACCGCAGGGAGTTTCTTCACATTATATCTGATTTTACGTTCTGATGCACACTGGAATATTGCCATATTTTAAATGAATAAAAATTACAGCCTTCAAAGCTCAACAGAGAATATAAGAGCATCTTTTCTCTTTGTGTGTATAGAGAAAGAGAGATGGGGAAACTATTATTTATTTTTGTTAAACTATATAAAATCTCGTTAGTATAACACATTCATTCGGTTGCTTCACTTGAATTTACTTTTGAGTTTTTGTGTAATTCTTATTATTCTGAAAGATGATTCCCATTACAAAAATCTAGAGATTTTTAAGCATAATGATTATAAATATTTTTACATTTATATCAGCATAATGTAAACAAATATTACACAAAAAAAGTGCTTAAATGCATGCAAATTATTTTTTAAAAATAATATTAAAGTAACAAAAAAAAAATATATATATATATAAATTTTTATTATTTTTTTATAATTTTTAACTACATAAAATCTCATGGATATAATGCATCTGGATGCTTTGAATTTATTTTTGAGTTTTTGTGTAATTCTTGTTATTCTGAAAAATGTAGTCTTTAAGTATAATAATTATAAATATTTTTACATGTACATCAGCATAATTTAAACAAATATAAAACCAAAAGGAAAAAGAAAAAAAATGAACTTGAATTCAAATTATTAAAAAAATAATAATAATATTTACGTATTTATTTATTTATTAAAATAATTTGTAACTACATAAAATCTCATGGCTATAATGCATCTGGATGCTTTACTTGAATTTATTTTTGAGTATTTGTGCGATTACCACAATAGTAATTTTTACTATAATCATTATTTTTTACATTTACATCAGCATAAATGAATTGCTCATAAATGAATCACTTCAATGTCACAATGGAAAACACTTTAACACTCCTAAAATGATCTTTTTCTTTGAATATCTGATGGGTTTGCGGTGAAATCTGATCTGGCGTGAGATTTGCTCAGGTTTTGCTTGATGGAGAGCGTGATTACGGCCATCATGTGGGAGATATCGTGGTCTTTAAGAGCTCCGGGTTGGAGCAGGGCTAATGCTCACACCGCTGTAATGGGAGTGGCTTTAATTAGTGTGACTGTCGGGACACGCGACCTCTGACCCCCACCGCTGATGAGGTCACCGCTAACTGTCCAATAGCTTGAGTGCACTATTACCACAGGCTGAAATCTCATGAATTAAATCCTAATATTAATAAGCATTACTGTTTCCTATCGGTCACTCCATCTTAGCATGTTTTATGGCTTCTGAAACAACCTTGACCGCGCCGGATCTGATGGGATTGATGGCACGCCGTATTAAAGGGACACACGTACCTTTGAAATCAAACTGCTGGATGTTTTTCAAGGATTCGTGGATGAAGGCCGGATCTGGTGGGATTGATGGCACGCCGTATTAAAGGGACACACGTACCTTTGAAATCAAACTGCTGGATGTTTTTCAAGGATTCGTGGATGAAGTAGCAACATCCCAGTGCCTGAAAGACAACGAGAGAGAGAAATTACTCAACATAGAAACGTGTGTTTCCTTCATGTTTCTGTCTTCTTCTGAGCTGTAGATGTGCATCTGTCGGATTTCTTCACCTGTTTTGTGAAAATGGTGGTCGACCGATATATCGGCTGATATTTGGCATTTTTATTATCTGGTGGCTGATATATCGGACTTTTATTTTGAAATAGATTTAATTTCTGCAGTTGTTATGCATGTGTTTTTACTCATTTTAAATTCAATATTGTGATACCATACATATTGGCTTTACATCGGCCATCAGCTGCCAAGATATCAGTCATCAAAAAAATCCATATCGGTTGACCAATACTCAGTAATGTCACAAATACATCTAAAAACATCATATTGAATCTGTTCTGATTGAATTTCAGCAATTGTTATGCATACATTTTTACAATTGTTTAATTCAATATTGTGATTTCATAAATATCGGTCATCAAAAAAAAAAAAAAATCCATATCGGTTAACCACTACTTTGTAAAGTATCAAAAATACATCTATGGACATCTAATTAAATAAATAATTAAACATTTTTAAATTAAATATTGTGATATCATATATATATCGGCTTTATATCTGCAATTAGATATTGGCCATTAAAAAAATCTATACCAGTTAACCACTACTTAGTAAAGTAGCAAAAATACATCTAAATAAATCTATTTTGAAATAGATTTCATTTCAGCAATTGTTCTGCATGTTTTTTTGCTCTTTTTAAATTAAATATTGTGATACCATACATATTGGCTTTACATCGGCCATCAGCCGCCAAGATATCGGTCATCTAAAAATCCATATCGGTTGACCAATACTTAGTAATGTCACAAATACCTCTATTATTTAATCTATTTTGAAACAGATTTAATTTCAGCAACTGTTATGCATGTGTTTTTACTATTTTCAAATTAAATATTGAGATATTATATATATCGTCCATCAGCTGCCAAGATATCGGCCATCAAAAAATCCATATCAGTAGACCACTAGTTAGTAAAGTACCAAATACATCTAAAAACATCATATTGAATGTTTTGATTGAATTTCAGCAATTGTTATGCTAACGTTTTTAACATTTTTTAATTAAATATTGTGATATCGGAAACATCGGTCATCGGCCAATAGATATCGGCCATCATAAAAAATTAAAAATACATATCGGTTAACCACTACTTAGTAAAGTAGCAAAAATACATCTAAATAAATCTATTTTGAAATAGATTTAATTTCAGCAAATGTTATGCATGTGTTTTTACTATTTTCAAATTAAATATTGAGATATTATAGCCTATATATCGTCCATCAGCTGCCAAGATATCGGCCATCAAAAAATCCATATCAGTAGACCACTAGTTAGTAAAGTACCAAATACATCTAAAATCATCATATTGAATATGTTTTGACTGAATTTCAGCAATTGTTATGCAAATGTTTTTACAATTTTTTTATTAAATATTGTGATATCGAATACATCGGTCATCGGCCAATAGATATCGGCCATCATAAAAAATTAAAAATACATATCGGTTAACCACTACTTAGTAAAGTAGCAAAAATACATCTAAATAAATCTATTTTGAAATAGATTTAATTTCAGCAAATGCTATGCATGTGTTTTTACTTTTTAAAATTACATTTTTTGATATCGTATATATCGGCTTTATATCGGCCATCAAGATATCGACAACAAAAAACCCATATCAGCAAACCACTACTTAGTAAAGTAGCAAAAACATTGAAAACCAGCTGAAATTAGCACTTTTATTACTGTCGGGTCAATAATGCATCATTGTAGTGAGATTTCCCAGCAGATGCGGTCCGTAGAATCAAGTGATGTCAGTCGTGTTTCATAAGTTCATGTGTTTATGTAAAACCCAACACCACAAAAGAGCACAAACTTGCTCTTATGAATATGAAGGAAAGGCCTCTTTTCTTATGTAACGAGTTCACGGCGCTCAAATATAACATGTAAATTATAGCCAGAGCCGATTCTGTCAAAGCGCTCGATCTGAGCCGCTCAAAGCAGCACAGTCAGAGTTTAGCATGACCAAAGATTTACTTCAATAGGATTATATTCTTAATTTTTACCAAACAATCAGACAGTTTCTGTGTCTGTCGACGGCCCAAACAAACGGAGCCCGCAGGCGTAAGGCGCCGGGGATTTGATGCGGTTCACAGTTCACTAACTGCTTTTCTGAGGGGCTTTTGCACCTCCAGTCCTCAAGTTGGACTAAAAAGAGCAAAACCTGCTTCCTGTCCGCTCAGGGCTCAATGCAGCGGCCCAAAACTGTGGGCTAAAGCTCTCAATAGTGTCTAAAGACACAGAGAGACGCTCAGGAGTCATGGGAGACGGACATCCTGGCATCAGCGAATACAAACGCTCAGAGAATACAGTTAGGAAGCAAGAAAAGAACACAATAGAACTGGTTAGAGACGGACTGAATGGCCATCTGACGTTCTCAGGTTCTCTCTGCTTCACTGATCTTCACACATATGTGACACTGGAGCACAAGACCAGTCATAAGGGTCAATTTTTTTAAATTGAGATTTATACATCATAAACTGAAAGCTGAATAAATAATATTTCCATTGATACCGATGGTAAAAACTGGCTTGGCGAGTAAACGAAACCGAGTTATGAGCCAGTTGGCTGGTGACTTTATTAGGAGCTGCAAGAGAAATTCTTTGTTTCTGAAAGAAGTCTCTCTTCTGCTCATCGAAGCTGCATTTATTTGATCAAAAATACAGTAAAAATTTTGAAATATTATTACAATTTAACATTTCAGTTTTCTATGTGAATATCTGTTAAACTGTAATTTATTTCTGTGATGCGCAGCTGTATTTTCAGCATCATAACTCCAGTCTTCAGTGTCACATGATCTTCAGAAATCATTCTAATATGCTGATTTGCTGCTCAAAAAACATTTCTGATTATTATCAATGTTGAAAACAGTCGTGCTGCACAATATTTTTGTGGAAACTGTGATGCATTTTATTTTTCAGGATTCACAGATGAACACAAAGTTCAGAAGAACAGCATTTATTAGAAATATAATTTTTTTGTGACATTATAAATGTCTTTACTGGCACTTTTGATCAATTTAATGTGTCCTTAATGAATAAAAGTATTAATTTCTTTTTTTATTTTTAATTATTTACTTACCATTCAAAACTTTTGAATGGTAGTGTATGACAGCTTCCACAAACACTCACAACAACTACAAATAACTGAATAGCAAATATAATCCGTTTATATGGGACCAGCCAATTCTACAAAAAAATTATATGATCAATAAGTCATGGCAGTATAGGTTTTTTCCATTACTTTAACTCTTCAAATTAAGTTTAAGTTATAAAAGATTCAACTAAATTTTTTTTTTAAGTTGAAAGGACTTGTGCAACCAATTGGATTATACTTCAAAATATAAGGCAGCAGCTGCACTTGAGAGTTTAAGTTCAAGTTTAAGTTCAAGTAGGTGGAAATGAATTCTTTGTATTATATCTTATGCATTATTGACAGAAATTCTGCATTTGATTTAAATAAACTCATCTGACATAAATCTGTGTTCCTCTTCAGGAACTCGAGCTGCGTCGAAAACGCTAGGGGAACGCCTTCTGCGACCCACGCTCTGAATCACATGTGAAATCAGTCCAATAGCTGAACGGGACGTCACGGCGGATGACGTCATGACCAGGAAGCTATAAAAGCACGTGCGGCGGAGCAAGCGTCAGCTTTCTGTCATTCAGCAAAGCGCTCTGTGTGTGTCAGTCATATTTATTGTTGTCTGTCTATTGTGAGAAAAGTCTATAAGCAGCTATGTCTAAGGCTCACGCTAAGACAAAGCATGCAAAGGGCGAGTGCAAGCCACGTTATAGGTTGTGTGTTCCTCCCTGCCCACGTTATATCACGAGTGGGGATACACACAGCCTGTGCGTGGTTTGCTTGGGAGCGAAGCACGCAGAGTCGGCTCTCGAGGGGGCCTCATTGCGAGCGTCTCCCACTGCGTACGCTTCGCTCCCGGAGGGCTCTCTTTGAGGAGGGACAAATTCTACTTTCTACTTTGTTTTTACTAATTTCGATAAGTCATGAACGGACCAATAATCTATGCAAGAAGGGTTATTATAGTTAACTAAAATTAAAACCATTAAAAATCATTAGGGGAAATTAAAAAAAAATGTTAATTGAAAAAATAAAATGTAATAAATAAATAAATATTTCTGCTAACATTTCTCATTTTAATGTATTTTAACTTTAGGTACTAAAATAACTAAAACTGAAATAAAATGATTAAAAAATTATATAGATATATTTAAAAAAAAAAAAGATTTAAAAAAATTACAAACAAAACAAAATCACTACAACTTTAATTAAAATTAAAATTAAAACTGAAAGTACAAAAACAGATTCCAAATATTAATAAAAATGATAATCGTATCTCAATGATGCTAAAGTAAACACTTCTAGCTACACAAAATCTGGTAACACTTTACAATAAGATCCAATTAGTTAACGTTAGTCAATGCACTGACTAATTAACTAACAATGAGCAATACTACTCTACCGTATTTATTCATCTTTGCTGACGTTATCTAATAAAAATAAAATATTTATTCTTATTTCAATTAACAGTAAATAAGAGTATTTTTCATTGTTTTATTGCTTTTGAATAACATTCAGTAATGAGCCATTAACATTTTACCGCACAAAGCTTATTCATGCACATTAAAATATGAACTATATGAAAATGTGACTCGACGGTTCATAGCATTATTTCTCTGATCTGTTGAGCATTTTGAAAGTTATGATCAGTGTTTGCTGTACATCCTCAGAATAAACCATAAACACGGGTATCATAATAATAATTCCACACACAAGCTCTAATGAATATTTAACGTCAGAGTTCAAGCCGACCTCCTCGTCCTCCTCCTGAGCTCTTCATGAAGAAGCTATTATATTAGCGGCCCGCAATT